GATAAATGAGAGCCAGTTTAAGTTTTACGAACTCACAGGAAATAATATATTTTAAAAAGATCTTTGAAATACAGCACCCAAATTAGGTCATATTACAGTACCGTAACAGAAAAAATATTAAATGAAATAATAAGAAAAAATATTAACTGTAAAAATATGAAATGAATGCGCACATACTTTCCCAAACATTAATACATATATGTGACCGTGACTGCCGATGTGGTGCTTGCTACACCAGAAAAACTTCAGTAATAATATCACTAATTATTACCACCGCAATAGACGCTTCACAATCCAACCTTTGTCTCGTGAATTTGGCATGTGTTTGTATTTATTTCTCCATAATTTGAATTGGTAACATTTTTTTCATACTAAATCATTTAAAAAAACGTTTTTTAAATAACTTCTAGGTAAATAATTTTAAAACACTTTAAAATTATGTCTTCAATAAAAAATTTAACTGTATAAAATTATTTATAGCAACAGAAGGCCCGAGATAATTAAACGTTTTATTTTATATTATACAATTCCGTCTAACAGAATAAATACGGGAAACTTGCTAATTTTGGAAATTAGTTACTTTTATGGACCATAAACGTTTTATTGGTATTAGAAGTTTTCTAATTTTATTTACAGACAAGTTAATTTTAAACGAAGGTTTTTCCTAAATATTTCTGTATATTCTGTATATTCTGCTCCCCTAATGGGGATATTGATATTTTTATACATAAATTATATTATATATTTAATATTTGTTACTTTAAATATGATTGTATTGTTCTTTGTGGTGATCTTAACATCGATTATCTTAAAGAGTCAATGCAAAAATCTATATTGAAGGATTTTATGATTAGTTTTGGACTTAACTGTTAAAATACTGAACCAACTAGAATATTTACAAATAAAAACGGTGTAATTTCACAATCGAAACTAGATTATTTTCTTACCAATATTCCTCAATTATACAATGAGGTTGTCGTGAACTACAATTTAGGTGATCATCTAGGACTTCATTTTAGTTTAAACATATTTGATAGTAACAATACTGCTGCATCCCAGATAGCTACTTATAAAAACTTATCAAAGAATTGTTTGTCTAATCTTTTGTTGAGTCTTGATTCTGAGAATTTCGAAAATGTTTATACATATTCAAATGATGTAGATGATGCATATAGAGCTTTTTTGAACTCTGTCTCCTATCATATTGATACAACACGTCCTTTAATATCAAAACGGATAACTACTAATACCAACAGAAAATGGATCAATACTGAAATTCTTCAGATTCGTAAAAAGCTGAAAGATTTATTTTGGCTAGCTAATGTTAGTGGTAATTCAGATTTAATGTGTAACTATAAAATACAAAAGGCCAACTTTATTCGTAAGGTAAAGGATATAAAAAAAGCATCATATCAAAGTTATTTACATAATCAAAATAATAATAAAAAAGGAAGGAGATATGGAAAACTGCGAATCGTCAAACTGGTAAAAATTAAAACAATTTTGAGTAGAGCATTACTGATAATAATAAATTATTGATACATCCAGAACACATAGCAAACAAATTTGGTGAGTATTTTTGTACATCAGTCAAACACACATTATTAAAACATTTCAATAACTATACTTTTAACGATTTCACAACTATGACAATTCACAACAACATTCTTTTTTTCTGAAGTCTCACCATTTGATATTGAGAATGCTATATCTTTCTTAAACTATACGAGCTCAGTAGGTATTGATCAAATTCCCACTAAAATAATTAAATACATTTCTTCATATATATCTCCTGTTTTGTCTCACATCATCAACCTATCTGTCAAGGATGGCAAGTTTCCAAGTGACCTTAAAACGGGAGTAGTCAGTCCAATTTTCAAAAAGGGAGATCCATGTTTGGTTGATAATTACAGGCCAATCACCGTAACAAGTGTACTCTCTAACAAGATTATCGAAAAATGTATTTATAGTAAAATGTTAAATTTTTTGAATAAATATGATATCTTAAATAAATGCCAGCATGGGTTTCTTCCTAATAAATCTACAGAGAGTGCTTCTATTTCATTATTTAATTATATCCACGCTGCTTTGGATCGAAAAAGGTATGTGGGAGCACTCTTTTTTGACTTAACTAAGGCTTTTGACTCTATTGACATTGAAATTATACTGCATAAATTAGAAGACCTTGGTTTTCGGGGTTATTTCTTGAACTGGTTAAGGTCATACTTACAACATCGTAAATTCCTAGTAAAAGTCGATAATAAGAAGTCATCTGTTTTTAATCTTGATCGAGGTGTACCGCAAGGCTCCGTATTGGGACCCCTAATATTTCTTTTATATGTCAATGATTTGACACATTTTTTAACTGCAGACCATATAGTTCTATATGCAGATGATTCAACAATTGTAGTTGACGAGTCAAATGAAGTCGAACTCATATCAAAAACGAACTTAGTAGCACAGGAATTTACAACCTGGTGTAAAAGGAACTCTTTAATGGTAAATGCAAAGAAAACTATTTGTATGCAGTTCTACTCGCGCTTTAAGCCATCCCATGGTTATAAAATCACAGTTAGTTCTAAGGAAATACCTTTTAGTGATACAACATTATTTCTTGGTAGCATTCTAGAAAGTAATATGACATGGGATGAAAATGTCACTTAAGTCTGCAAAACAATGAATAAAGGTTACTATGCGATCCTTCAGTTGAAAACTCTATTTAATACTAATCAGTTGATAAATGTGTATTATGCATTAGTTTATTCATATATGGCCTATAATGTTATCTTGTGGGGAAACTCTAGAAACTCTACTAGAGTTTTTATAACTCAAAAGAGAATTCTTAGATTGATATTCAATATTAATAATAGACAATCATGTCGTAAATATTTTATTGAACACAGGCTGTTGACTTTTCCTGCTTTATATATTTATAAGTGTATTATTCACGTCAAACTAAATTTCAAAATTTTTAACCCTCAACTCTGACTTTCATAATTACCCGACAAGACACGGGAGGTTGATAAGCGTGTGTAAAACACTCCACAACTCTCTTTGAAACTAGTCCTGATTTGCAGGATCTAAATTTTATAATTGTTTGCCACTTAATATAAGAAATGAAAACAATATTCAAAAATTCAAAAATAAATTAAAAGCATGCTTCATCCAATTATGCGTTTACAACCTAAGTGAATATTTTGACTTAATAAAAGACTACAGAGAATAAGGACCGACGGGTTCAGAGACGCTCTATATTGCATATCTTTGTTTTTTATTTTTATATTAATCTATATTTTATTGATTTTGTTTTATGTAATTGTCCTATATAACTTGTTGATCATGCTTTATGTACTATAAGACTTGTCCTATATCACAATGTGATCTGATGGGATTAATAAAGAATATTCTATTCTATTCTATTCTATTCTATATTTTGAAGTCGACTTTGCATTTTAAAGATTTATTACAACCAGACAGAAGATATCAAAGTCTGCAATCAGTCAATTAGCATGAATTTCAATCTCATAATGGCTGATCAATGCTGGTATGTTATTACAGTCAACTCTCGTTAATTCGAAACTCAAGGAACTAAAATGTTACGAATTATTGAGTGTTTGAAATATCAAATAGTTCGAAATGTGTGAGAGAAAACAAATAAAACTTCGAATTGATAAGTGTTGTCGATTAGTATTTATTAACTGCTAATCTATAACGATGACAAAAGTTAGAGGTACATTAGTGTACATACATGTCTGTATTCACAATATGAATTAATCAATCTTTCGAAAGAACTGTATTATACTGGTTTCCTTCAAAGCACATTGCTACTGCTCAGACTGCTCAATAATTATTTTTAAGAGAAAAAGTGCCTGACATGTTTTTTCATCACTTTTGTTTTGTAGACAGAAGGTTTGTAAGGTATCAAATGAGGAGCTTGCTTTCTTAACTGGCACCTCTGCCAAAGGTTCTGATGTATCGTATTCATCTTCATCGTTACTTTTTTATTCGTATCTGTCGCAGATCAAATTTCGTCAACGTTGAGTGAACCTGAGACAGCAACATCTTCATCCACATGACCAAAGTCAGAAAAACTTACAATGCTGATGTCAACTAATGGTTGAATTTTCTTTTAAGAAACTCGATTTTTTGAAGCAGTTTAGAATTGTTAAGGGGTGTTACACCTCTCCATGCCTTGTCAATCACTAAAATATCTGCTGGAATCGTGATATTTGCAGTTAGTTGCTTGTCGCATTCTTGGGATTCTAAAACGAGCTTAAGAATTTCTTTGTGATAGAACCTGTTAAACTTATGGATGATCCCTTGGTCCAATGGTTGCAATTTTAAAGTTGTATTTGGCGGAAAGAAGTAGAGTTTCACGTTGGACAATGTAGAAGGACTGTTGTCGACAGTGGAATTGTCTAAAAATAGTAAAATTTTCCGCTTTTGCCGTTTCATGTCCCCATTAACTATTAAAAGCCAATTGTTAGAAAAGTTCTGTCCGTAAGCCAATTGTTAAAAATCCGTAGGAAACGATTTTATACCTTTGAAACATCGCGGTTTCATTGCTTTTCCCGTCTTTAAGGGTTTAAGTTTTTCCGATCTGTCCATATTGACTGCAAGTAAAACTTCATAGTTTTCAATCAAGATGTTTACTTTACCATGTCAATCTAAGCAAACTGCATTATCAGCGCTATCACTTTCCCCACAAACTTTCGTAAACACAATTCCATTTCTCTTTTTGAAATTTGTAAGCCACCCTTCACTTGGCGCAAAGTATTTGAATCTTACAGTAGACGTGAAGAGAGTTGCTTTCTAAGACAGAAGAGATTTATTTTCATGTTCAGAGCGACTGTGAATTGTCGTTCTGAAGAGGCCTATTAGGCCGAAATACGTATACCGGCTAAAGATGCACTATACGTGAAATTAAATCTTAACTGTCTTTTCCTTTAGACTAAAGCGTTTATGACATCTGATTTTCATAAAATTGTTTTTTTTTCCAGGTAACATTCTACCCAAGTAAACAAAAATTCGAAACCAAAACAGCGAAAGACTCATGGCCAACGATCAACGAAGAATTTTCCTGTATTTTATTACCGGTAAAGAAAATCGATGATTTCTTTAAGGGCCAGTTTATTTCTTTTACTGTATACGCTGCTCTAGGAAAAGAAGAAGAGGAGCAAAGGCAGAAGGAAAAGCCGAAAAGTATATTAAAAAGGTAAAAATTTTATTAAGATTTATATTATCGAAAACACAATCAGAGCATTAAAACATTTTTAAATATTATTTTAATCCCAAAATTAACAAGAATTACTTACTACTTTAGTGAAAAGGATTCTACAGTATGACAACTCTTGTATCTGAAAGAACATCAGTTTTAATAGATTGGCTATTGAAAAAAATATATTATTTCAAATGCATTGCAAACAAGAACTTTTTCTTTTATAAAAGTAATATTTTTACAAAATGTGAACTTAAAGTAGAAAAAGCATTATTCAATATTTTTTGGTAAAAATAAATGAGGATCCAATGGATAATACAAAACTGAAATGAACTACACCCAAACTACAAAAACACGCTTTATTTTTACCTAAATCGCTAAAAGTCTTCTTATTTTTAGGTACTTTTCATTTAGTGATGGCGAAGAAATTATTTCGTTAAGGAACAATAGTTTTAGGAGATCTGGCTCTCAGAGAAGAAGTAGTTATAATAATAGTTTGAGCAACAGAAGGACTGTAGGTAAGAATATCAATGCCTTACACTACCTTCCATCAATATTTGATTTAATTTTCTGATAACTTTAAAATAAAACCCGGCGTTCGTCAAGGATGTAATATCTCCTACACGCTGTTCACTATATGCTCATTTTTTTTTACTTGGTGAGTCTATGCGCTTTATGCTTCTCATTCTGTGATTTAATTTATTTGTGTCCGTTCTCACAGCCAGGGTTTTGTCGGTTTCAACTTTATCATATTTCTTGTTTTTTGCCACTAATTTTCTTCGTTTTTCCGATTTTGTTCCTTCTGCTACTGCTTTTTTGCATCTCAATATTTTTAAAAATGCCTTTCTTTTTCCATCTACATTTCTCTTCGTCTACTATCGTCTATCATCTTTTTAAAAATCTACTTTTACCATTTTCCCTGAGTTCTTTAACATTTTTCTGTCATGTCTTTTCTAATTTTATTTCCTTGTTAGCTCATCATTTATTAATATCTTTTCACCCTTTTCTCAGCGGACTCTTTTTTCATCATCATCAGTAGCTCAACAACACTTTCTGGGTCCTGGCTTGTTCTAGGAATTTCTGTTCTGTTCCTTGCTTTGTTTTTCCAGTAGAATTTTCTGGTTTCTGATGATTTATTTAGTTCTGTTCAATTTTGGATCCCTTTTCTTTTTTTAGTGTTTGAGATTCGGGCTCTTATTCTACTTTCCACTAGATAGTGAGCCGAGTCTGCATTTGCCCCTTATCTGCTGCATACGTTTATTACATCTGAGTGATCTCTAGTCAATAAAAACATGATCGATCATGTTTACTGTAACCCCATCGGTAGATCTCCACGTTCACTTATAAATATTTTTCCACTGGAAGCATGTGCTGGCAATGGCAATGATACCTAACGAAGGCTGTGCATACCTATAGTTGGAACGTATTGTTGCTCTTTTCCTATTTTTGCGTTGAGATCACCATAAATTATTTTGATGTCATTCTTTGTGCATGAATGGTATGCAGCTTCTAGTTCTTCATAGAATTTTTCTTTGACATCGTCTTCCTTTTCCACTGTAGGGGCATGCACATTTAAAATGCTATAATTAAAAAATATTCTTAGTATTCTTAGTCTAATATTCTTAGTCTCAGAACGCACATTCTAGAGTTCATAGCACGAAAGTCTGTTACGAGGTGTTTAACCTTTTTATTTACAATGAAGCCAGTACCTAGTGAGTGGTCTTTAGCGTCGCAACTATAGAATATAAGGTGGTGTCTTTTGTCAATGGTCCCACTCCCGGTCCATCTCATTTCCTGTAGAGCTGTTATATCTATGTCATATATATTCAGTTCACCGAACAGATTTTAGAGGGCTCCTGATCTGTATGGGGATCGGATGTTCCATGTCGCGATTCTTAAATCATGTACCTTTTTCTCGCGCAGTCGTCGTCGTTTATTCAGTCCGGTTTTCTTTCCTTGAACATTCTGACTCTTTTTTGCATAATTCCATTTTTTCACGTGTTCTCGTGAGTTTTCTAGTCTATATTTATTGTTTTTTTATGTTTACTCCCTCCTTTATGTCATATTTTCTTTTATTTTCATCACTGTATTTACATAGGTATCAATTTTTAATTTAGTTACTACAATATTTCTTTCCAGTTTCTTTTCGAATCCTTTTCGAACCTTTCTAATCTATTGCTCGCCTCATTTTTCACCTCTGAAATTGAAGGCGCTATTTCCACTTCAACCGTTCAGATAAACGTTCCTATCAATGCTGTATTTTCAATGCTGCCGATAATATTTTTTTTGTTTAAATTTATTGTATTTTATTTGACTTTCTGTGCTCATATGCAATACCGCAATCGTTTTTGACGCATTTTCGGTAGCTAGAAGCTGACGTCCGATATCAACCTTATTTTACTAACCTATATTTTGTCTTTTTTCTAATATGGAATTCATTCAATTCATAATTCACTATTACTGCTGCCACACTATATAGGTGGCCTAGGAGGACAAATTCATTAAACTTCCCGTGATCCAATCGGTATCAATAAAGTGTTATGAATCATTTCAGCATATCCCTGATTCATCAGACACTTGCGCTAATACAACTTCAAACTCAGAAAGTCCAAGGAATGTCTAGTGGCCTAAAACTTGACCACTGCAGTGGTTATCGTGCAGAGGTGTCACCTGCTTTAGCGGCCATGGACGAAAACGATATTATTAAATCGTTTTCGTTCTAGCATCATGAGCTAATGAACTTAAATATATTATGAAGAACCTATTTACTATTAGTCTTATTGGGTTATGATTTATTTACAGGAGCTGTGACTTACAATTTAGATAGGAAATTATTTACTCAAAAGCTTAGGACAGGCGAGATAAGCACGCCAGATATTTGGAGAAATATTACCGAGATTACTAGTGGAATACAAACGCAACCGGTGAGTCATTTATATTTTATCATTATTTTTTAGACCATAATAATGCTTTCTTCTCCTAGAATGTTATTAGCTTCAATTGCTCGATAAGTCAATAATAATAAAGGCTTAGATATACCGCAAACTATTCGACAGGCAGAAACAAAGGTATTGGCGATGGAGTAGCGGGTCACTACCCCTACCTTAGACACGACTGTGTCGGTTGGCAGATGGAACTCATCTCATCATTCAAGAGTTGTTTTTACGAAATAGGGCGAGGTGTGAGTGTATAATTACTCAAGCGATCTGCAATTTTAACGCAATACACTGATTTTTCTATGGTTCATTGCTCACAACAATGTATGAATAAACCGTCTATTATTTGCAACATTGTATTAACAACCATTTATTGTTTGATACTGTCTGAGTTTTTGCAACAGAGAGTCTGTTATTATTTCAACAATGTTTATATAAAGTTGCGAAACTGAAACAATATCTTCTTCATCCATATCCACATCAAAGCATATTCGTATAAAATTGTATTACAATGTTGCCAGTAGTTTCGGCAAAATCGTAAAAAATGCGTAAATTTTTTTTTTCAACGCCCTCTATCTTGAAAACGGATGGCGTTACAAAAATTTTTTACAAAGCAAACCCCAATTATTTTTCAGTTTTTTATCTACTCTAGAGACGGGGTTATCTATTTTAAACACCGTGTAGTATATAGTATATTGATAGTATATAGTGGGCGTCACACCTCCATTACTCCGAAGGCATTTCATTAACCTTGTTAGACGAAAATCCTTTGTAATTTCGTATAGTTTTACCAGTAGCTGTTGATGATTAACTGTGTCATAGGCGGCAGTCAGGTCTACGAACGCTACTCCTGTTATTTTTTTCTATTCCAACCTATTTTCAATATGTTGGGCGACGTTAAGAATTTGACCGCAGCAGCATTTTCCTGGTCTAAACCCTGCTTGTTCAGGAATAATTTTAGTGTTTACAGATTCAGCGTGTAACATTTTTTTTATTATTAATATAACAAATTATTTTTAATTCCTTTTACCCCCGTGCGATACGCCGATGATTAGGAATCCCCATGTTTACGATAGAAAAATATTATTGTAGACACCAAGCTGAAATGAAATTCCCTAATTAAGAAAGGTTTTTAATCCTTCCGTCTTAATACTCTGTATGAAAAGAACAAATGCTTTCCGGTATGCAGTTTCTTTTTCATAAATTGGAAATTTTCGCCGAACGCCGTATCTTTTGACAATAATATAATCCTAAGGATTTTAATATTCTCAGGTCCAATTGTTAATACCGATTATTTTACCTCAAACTTTCCAATAGTCGTTAAGGCCTTACTTTCTGAGAAATATATACGACTGTCCGATGATTTTAAGTGGGGATACACCTTCTTCTTCTTTTTTCTTGGATAGTTGGTGAAATTTTTAGGGAACCAACTTACTTCTCGGTCGGCTCTTGTTGAGTGAAGTGATATCTCGTGATGTGCTTTGCTCACGATATTTCTTATCTTATCGTCGCTGTGAATTATTTTCTAAGTGTGTGTACACTTCATATTTGAGTTTTCTTTCCTTAGACTATATTAAATTATATATAGTTCTACACTACCTTTAATGGTTATTAAATTCAGTGTTTAGTACCAGAAAAGTATTAAATTCAGTGAATTAAGCTGCCTTCGTCAAGATCTACTGTAAGTAATCTTTATCTACAATTATCTGGGCGAGTAATATGGTATGGTATCATATCACCTGCCATTATCTGGACGTATCATCTATATCTTCACCTGTAGATTGCCGATTTTTAAATGTAATTGAACCATTCAAGAAATTTCTATAAATATTACCTATGAACATACAAGTCTCAGTTTTTTATTAAATAATAGTGCGAGATAGTTAATTGACTTAACCAAGTGCGGTTTGGTTTATGTTTTCATTCCTGTAACCTTTTTGTTTGTTTTTTTTTTGTAAATTTAGAGTTAAGTAATTTTTGCTATCTTTTGTATTTCCTATAATTTTTGTTCATTATCTTTCCTATGATATCTCGAGATACGCCAAACTATATTTGTATATGATTGCCTTATATATCTTGGTAAAGGTATTTTTTATTACATTATTGCCTAATTTTATACATATATAACACCATTTCATAGTTGTGTATTTTTATTACCTGTGTTGCATTTAGCAGCATCATAATTTTGTGTTTAATATATTGTTATTGTTTTATGCATGTATTTTATTTGTCGGCTCCTAACAAATTCCCTGATAAATAATAGCTCTGAACAATTACTATCTTTAAATATTACTATGCTTTTGAACTGTAGAAAGATCAGCTGATTAAGCCTTAGTAGGTAAGTAAGTGTAATACATAATATATTTATTATTTGTTTATATATTGCGTTGACCAGATTTATTTGATAATTTACTGTTGGTATCTTTCCTTGGGTTTGATCTCTGAACCTAAATATCTTTTCTTATCTCTTTTCTTTTCTAAGTTCTTCTTAATTTTCTCCTTAACCCCAAAAAATTGAGTGGCGCCCTGTTTCTATCTTCTCTTATCTTTGGTAATTTTACCCATCTATCTTTTTTGTTTATTTCTGTATATTTTCTAAATATCTCTTATCCTATCTTTACCTATTTCTTCCGTTGGATCCATTCCCGGTTCCAAAAGCTAGTTTCGAACCCACGACTCGCTCTCCACCAACCATCTGGCTGCCGTCCGCAGTGTCTCCATTGGTTATCTTTCTAGCACCACCCAAAAAAGATTTCCGAGGTTACAAGCGATCCGATTCAGTTTCTATTTTTCGAAGGCCTTGAAAAGGTGACACAAAAGAGAGACAGGTCTAAAACTCTTTGTATCCGCCGGATCCTTTCCTGGTTTTAAGATGACCATCACTCTAGCTTTCCTCCAGATTTTGGGGATTTGGAATGTACGGCCGCAACAGTTCATCATTTTTACGAGCCCCTCTAGAGTTTTTGGTCCAAAGTGCTTATAGATATATTCTAGCAACACATATAGATATCCTATTGTCTGCGCGATTAACTATTTCGTGGAATTCTTCTAGCTTCTATAATTCCACAGTATTCTATTATTTCATCAAACACACGTTTTTATCCCAATATTAAGTTGCGGTCCTAAATTGTTCCTGGTTAATTCTCAATCAGATAAAATTAACTCAAGAAATTACCAACTCACTCTGGTTTATATACGACATAAATACTGGAAGTTATGTATTTATGTAATCTCCAACATCCTACAACAATTCGTAATGCGATGCTCATTTTGCATTCATCTCCTTCAACGTGAGTCCAGTAATTTCGCGTTACATTTTTTATAAGCGATAAATTTTCATCATTTGCAAATTAAAAAAGGATGCTGCACATTACGAGGATAACTAATGGACCTAACGTAATTGTATTGTTGGTATGATTGCATAAAATTATCCACTTGACCTACAAAGTTGCGGATAACTGTGATAAGAAAGTAGACGGGCAAACTCAAGTGATAGTTTTATTGGTTGGTAACTCAAATTTCTATTTAGATTAAATAAACAATGTTATTGTTTAATTTCTTTCTGGTATCGGAAGTTGGAGGTTGAATTTTTTATTTCGCAAAAATTGTTTTATTGATTTCTACATATTCTACAGATTTCCTTTTGCTTCTTCGTTCAGCTTCCTTTTTTTATTCATAAGCTTCTTTGTTTCTGTTGATATATAGTTGTTCTTTTTTAGATCCTTTTTTGCTATTTCTTTTCCTGATGTAATCATCGTTGCTGTAAGTATGTTGTCTATTTCGTCTATATCTTTATTATCACTGTCTAATTTTGGGTAAGTTGTTCTTTTAATAGGTCTTTGTATATCTCTTTATATTTCCCTAGTTTGTTTTTATCTACTAGATCCCAGTTTCTAAATATTTTTCTTTTCATTTCATAGTTACCGTCAATACTAATTTTTGCTCTAACCATCCTGTGATCGCTACCTGTTGTGGATCTGTTTCGTTGGGGCTTCTTTTTGTAAAAGGAGTTCATTGCGTATAAATGCTTTTCTTCTAGGTTAAAGAGGAAGTTGTTAAAAGGAAAATACCAGTATTTGTAAGTCAGTAACGTATAGTGGATACATCATTTATGCTTTTTAAATAAAAAACATTTAAAATCAGAATTTGGTGTTTATTGAAAGTAAACTAAATACACGACCAAATACTTACCATGTCAGGATAGTATTGAGGTTTTTTCCTGGTTTTCCCCTCATAATTTACTATGGAATCACTAACAGGAGAATTTTACTGTCATCATGGCATGTGTTTGTCTTTTTAAAGACGAATTACATGCTATGATTTTTTCTGAAGTATAATCTCAAGTTAAAGTTGATTTCATGTAATCGAATGAACTATCTTACACGTAAAGTTGTCCCAGAACGCAACTCAACAATAATTGGCAATATCATTTTAAAATCGTTCTACTTGAAAATTACAAGTGTATGCCTGAATTGTCAATATAAATCAGTCAGATAAAATTAAATTATTAGAATTTTTTCCACCAAGTAACAAAAAAAAACAAAATTTATTTAATTTACTAATGTTTGTATTTTGAGAACGATTTCCGAAGTGGAAATTGAAACGTCAATAAACGTACTTTTAACCTTTAATTGTGGCTTATTCCCATATAAATAGTAATTACTTTAAAATTCCACAAGAATATAGCTTCGAACAAAGTATTAACTTTTCCAACAAAAACTTTAACTTTCAATTTTTACTTCACAAGAAGGTCTTTTTCGTAAACAATATTATGATAAACATTTCACAATTCATTGAATTCAATTTGTGAATTCCAAATTTGTAGAAATTAACAACTTTTACAACGCTATCAGACAGAAAATAATAAAATTACAAGGAATTTAAACACGTACATCTTAAAAGTTTAGTTTTTTGGTTTTAGATTCTTGTTTTATTAAAAAAAACAAAAAAACGTGGTTCCGCCCGGGATCGAACCGGGGACCTTCTGCGTGTAAAGCAGACGTGATAACCGCTACACTACGGAACCTACAACGATTTGCTCAAGAGCATAATATTTCTAGTCACTATAAATTGGTATGAATCGGTTATTATCAATAACTAATTTACATATTATATATTTAATGTTTATAAAAGATTAAACCACAATTTATTATAATCAAAATTACATTTTTACCTACTGTTTGACGTTTTCGATTTCCACTCCAGAAATCGTTTTCAAAAAATATTATTCTAAAAAGAGTACGAACAATATAACCAAAAAGTTGTTAAGGTGTTTAAAAAAGTATTTAATATAATACTACTTAATTGAATTATTTATAAAAAATATATATAAATAAACATTTAACTGATATTATTAAAATTTGTTAAAATAGATTTATTTGAAATATGCGCCATCTGTTGGAGATCCAAAAAACTTAATTTTATCACTTTAGCAATAATTAGATAATGAGATTACGAACCCCTTCCTAATAATTTCCTAATTATAGAAAAATATTTATAAATGTAATGAAAACTATTGATTAAACAGAATAATAATAAATTTAAAAAAAAAATCTAAAAGTTTAGAAGTTTACCACTTCTAAAGAGATTTACATCTCCTTTATTTTTAATGACATCCACAATTCTTCGAGGCATAGTTATTACCAAGTTCTGACAAAATTCTAATGTTAAAGAATCCCATATTTCTTGCAAATTTTCCTGTAGTTCGTTGATGTACCTGGCAGAATGTTTTCTTAAAGCTTTTTTCATTTCGCGCTACAGAGTCTCTATCTTGAATAACTCTGCATAAATGCTCTAACTATCGAGGAATTATGCTCCTAAATGCAGCGTATAAAATATTCTCTAATATACTATGCCATCGTATGGCACTATATACAGGCAATAATAGGACAATACCAGGCTGGTTTCAGAGGTTGGTAAATCAACAATTCATCAGATTTCAATCCTGAGACAAATTCTAGAGAAAACACTGGAATACGGTGTAGACACGCACCACATATTTATAGACTACAAGGCAGCCCTACGACTCTGTAAATAGAAAGAGAATTGTTTAGAGCAATGATAGACCTGAGAGTACCAAATCAGTTGGTAAGTCTAACCAAACTAACCCTTGAAAAAGTTGAATGCAGAGTACGAATCCAGGGGGAACTCTCTGAACCTTTTAATACAAATAACGGGCTACGTCAGGGAGACCCACTGTCAATCACAACTACCGGTTCAATATATGTCAAATTTGTGCAAATCCTAGCATATGCTGATGATATCAATATTGTTGGGAGAACGGAAAACGCAGCACGAGAGGCGTATGTAGCACTAAAGGAAGCGGCTACAAAAATGGGTTTAATAATAAACATTAATAAAACTAAATATATGAAAATAGTCCGCAACCACAAATACTACGCCACTTGTTATAGAAAAACGACGTCATCGAAGCAGTTAACGAATTTGTATACCTGGGAACGCTCGTCAATACTGAAAATGACATTAGCGCAGAGATAAACCGCAGAATTTGCACGGCTAATAGATGTTATTTTGGGCTTAATCTCCTTTTTAAATCTACACCTATATCAAGAAATACAAAAGTATAGCTCTACAAAACAATAATACGCCCAGTTCTAACATATGGTTCAGAAACCTGGACTTTAACAAAAAGCAATGAAAACATGTTGGGAATGTTTCGATAGAAAAATACTGAGGCGAATCTATGGAGCGTAAATGAAAATGGTGTCTGGAGAAGACGATACAACTTCGAACTCTATAGAATATACCAGGAACCAGATATCGTAAAACACATTAAGATAGAACGTCTGAGGTGGGTAGGCCATGTAATGCAGATGGAGCAAACTGACCCAGCTAGAAAAAACGCTCCTTGATAGACCTATTGGTCAAAGAAGAAGAGGAAGACCCAGAACAAGATTCCTAATAACATAGACCAAGATATGAGAAATATGGAAATACGTGCTTGGCGGAAGGAAGGCGATGAATAGGGACGACTGGAAAAAAATTCTTGGGGAGGCTAGTACCCACACAGGTTGTAAAGCCAAAATGATGATGATGATGATATATTCATTGGAATATCGACAACTTGAAAAATGTTCTTTTCACTGATGAGACCAGAATTCTATTATGAAACCACTCTACCTCTACTAATTGCATCCCTCTCTATTTCCCTGTTAGTATAATATATCAATCCTAGGTACTTGAAACTAGTAGTTTTGATAATCATTTCACCAACCAAAGTTTTAACTTTATTTGTAGCGGTAACTCAATCTTTAACGAAAATTCCAATTGCTTTGTTTTTGTACAAATAAGTTTTAAGGGAATATTAATTATACCAATCATTTTTAAGTTACATTTTCTAACCACTTGTTGTGAATATTTTTTCCGACCATTACAATTTACATAAGTTCATTTTAGTATTTTTGTTTTAGAGAGATGGACCAAAAGGTAGCATAGAACTGACTCTACAATATGGAGTAAGTGAAGATGGAACCAACGATGTAGTGGAGGTCACAGTGACCAAATTTAGATGTAGTTTACAAACGAATGCAACTTCATGAGAAAATTGGAGGTAAATATATTTGTAGGCGTGATTTTAATAACAAGGTCTTGCAAATGGTTTGAATTGTCGATAAATATTTGATCTTTATCATCGTTTGTATTAGCATACTAGATTAAGCATTTGCATGTATGTAAAACTGAACTGAGACGTTTTCACACACGCGCACACTTTTTAAATTGTGAATGTCGTTTTCTGCCTTTTATTGTAATAATATATTGCAGCTGGTTTCGACTATGTATTCAGAAATAAAACAGTTTCATCTGTAGTCTTAATATTGAAAGACAAGATTAAGAAAAATGAGGAATATTCAGCAATCACTACTATAAGGAGTTTCTACCTTTTTACAAATTTTGAGTAACGCAATATATTCGATATCCTCAGTTTGCTGAGTGAAATTACTGAAGAGGTTACATCGATAATGTAAAGTTCATATCTTTCCTCTAAGCAAGCAAGCAATTTAATTTAACCCAGCCTATGAGAAATGTTCACCCCTATGAATTACGGTCGGGTGTAACAATTCATTGGAGCAAGGTGTGTTAACTCGTGTATAAACAGGAGTCACCCCACCGTGTTCCAATGCTCTAGACCATCCTTTCCCCCCTATTGAGGCACAACAATCAGCCAAATGCTCTTCATGTGGAGTTCCTGGGTAATAGAACCCCAACATGGTTTCCTAACCGATTTGTAAAAACTGAGTCGCCGAACTGAGTCCCAGCTCAGTTCAAAGCAGGACTCAGAACGAAGGAACTGAACTGAACCGGACTGGGTAAGAAAGAGAGTAGAATGGAACAATCATATAAACCGAATAACAACAAATAGAGGAGTTGAGGCGGTATGAGACGGTTCCCCATTAGGAACACTATCATTAGGAAGACCACGAAAACAATGGAATTACAACTTACTGGAGACACATTGAAAAACACACAGAGTCATGTCTATATCAAAAGAAGAAGATCTCTCCACCATATGGAATCGCTTGTTTGGTGCTTGTATTCTACAATTTTTACTAGATTTTTACTTTTTACTCTTCATTGGAGGTGGACGGCAGGTCAAAAACTGTATACCCTTCTTCTTCTTCAAGTTCCAGTTCTATCGGAGATTGGAAATCATTCTGGCAATTATAATTTTATTGGTTACATCGCCTGAATAGTTCAATTGAACTGCATCCAACCATTCACGGAGATTGCGTAGCCACGAGATTTTACGTCTTCCTACGCTTCTTCTACTTTTGATTTTACCCTGCATTATATTCCTTATAGTTCGTACTTTATCCACCTCTCATGATGTGCACCCAAGTATTCCAATTTCCTGATTTTTATGGAATTTAAAACTTCACATTGTTTTCCTAGTTTGTTCGAGAACTTGTTCGTTTGTTTTGCGATCCATCCATGATATTTCAAAATACGTCGTAACACCACATTTCGAATGCTTCTAGGTTTTTAATGTTAGATTTTTTAAGTGTCCGAGCTTCAACTCCATACAAAAGGGTAGAGAAAAGATAACATCGAAGCATTCTTATCCGGAGCGATATATTGATATCGCGATTACAAAAAAGTTTTCTCATTCTATTAAAAGTTGACCGAGCAATTTCAATGCGGCATCTTATTTCTTTTGTCTGATCAGTATCTTCTGTGATCCATGCTCCAAGGTATTTGTACGAAGATATTTGTTCAATTTCTGTATTATCTATACTCAGCTTAACTTTGATGTTTTGTGCTTTTTGTAAATACCATGAACTTGGTTTTCTTCAAATTGATTTTTAGTCCATAATCGTTGCAATATATATTTAGTTGTTCAGCAAGGTGTTGCAGTTCTTCTAGTGTTCCTGCCAGAAGGAAGGTGTCGTCAGCATGTCTTATGTTATTAAATGGCTCACCGTTTATTATTACTGTATACCCTGCTACTTGTTAATTGTCGTATCTATGTATTTCGTGAGGTTCCGTTAATTTGGATTGTGCATGACTTACCTGGTCTGAACCCAGTTAATTGTTATATAAGATTCTGGCCGATTAAATTTTGAATGATTCTTTCGTATACCATGAAAATATTATGTAACTGGGACATAATTTCTCTCAGGTAATAAGAGATAGGAAAGAATCGTTACTTACATATATCTATCTTCTACCGCTGTTGTAAATGTGTACCTTCAGGCTACCTACTTATCTATAAGTGCAAGGCTATTAGATTTCGTTATGTTGGCAGATAGAATTGGATGTCAAGTCTCAATGAAATTATAATTATTATTAAAATCTTTCAACTTTTCACAAAATACTAAAAACTATATATATCTAATTACGGTATTTTTCAGGCCAGTTTGTATATCAAAATCACAGCTTTCGAAGACGAGGACCTTGTACAAAAAATGAAAAGCGACAAGTTCGAGCCTACCATCAGTTTAAAGCTAGAGGCCAACACGGCCACTTTAAGAGCCACAGTAGACAAATACAATTTGGAAGAAATGAAGATTCTCATAAGACTCATGTCCAGAAATATTGTAGGAAAGAAAACCTTATTAGGAAAGATAGAAATTGACAGGAATAGCAGCTTTTGGAAAGAAATTGTCGCCAATCCTTCAGTCGCCATTACGAAGATGGTTAATTTTGAATAGATTTTTTTTATGAAAAAAACAGTTTATAGCTGATATATTACTCCTTAACAGTATATGGAATTTATAACGCAAATTCAGACGAACTTATGAGTTACGAATTGTTCCTCAAACTTTTTTTAAACAATAAATTTAAATAGAAAGCTTTTACAAAAACACTGTTGACTGTCTTTCTTGCACTTTTTAATATCTGTAATTGACTAATAATAGATCAGCTACAAATTACACCATTTTTATATTGTTTTTTATACAATGGTATTTTACCTGTTTCTTAATTTTATTTTAGAGTAACTTTTGTTGTATAAGTAATAATATTTGCTCACTTTTACTCTATATAGATATTAGATTTGTGTGTGACTGTATTTGATAAAAATATTTGTTTTGAATTTTTGGACTACGTTCATATGAAATACATAACCTTATGCTTCAATACTACCCAAATAAGTTTATTTATATTTTAGAATTAAGACATCTGACTCTCCTTTCCCCTCCAAAGTGAATATTCACTCATCCTAGAACGGGATATCTAAGGAGGTTGTCTTCAATAAATACCTACTTTGCATTACTCATTGTCTTCTTATTTATATCTCAATATCACCTTATTTGGATTTTGGTTGTATTTAACACACCAACTATTCTTGCTAGGTATCGACCTAGTCTTCTTCTTAGGGTGCATGTCCGTTCCGAACGTTGGCAATCATTCTGGCTATGATGATTTTGTTTGGTTGCTATATGAAATAGCTGTTTGAGAGTCTTTCTATACCATGCTCTCAGGTTAGCAAGCCAGGATAGTCTTCTTCGTCCTGAGGCTCTTTTTCCTTCAATTTTACCCTGCAAAATGCATTGGAGTAGCTCGTATCTGCCTTGATTTCTCATAATATGTCCCAAGTACTCCAGCAATAAACCTGATTTATTAACTAGTATAAGAACTAGTCTGTTATGTGCCACTGAATTGCTCTTTGTGCACAGTATAGTCTTGGTATAGCTTGTTCTTGTCATTTTTAAATAGACTATCAGGGAAATAGTATTGGTTACAATCTATAGATTAAGCCTTCTGTTAATAGAGTGTCTGTCCTACTGAGTCAGCCGTTTCTTAAGATCAGTTACGATAAATTCCTATCACTCCACGGTAAATGTTGAATCGTTTCTTGGATTTGATATCCATATTGACATAAGTTGCAGGGTTAACATTTTTTATAAAACTATCAGTTAATCCATCACTGCTGTCTTCATCTATGACATCAATATTCTTGACTCTGCGCGACTTTGCAAAATGGTTTAAAATCTCACATTACTTACATTTCTTTTCATACGCTGGGCATTCTTTGGTCCCCATGGGTTAATTGACATCGTTTGCACTTAAATTTTTTATTAACATTGGCTTCGTATTGGCTTTAATACTTTTAGAGTTACTATAGTTTCTGTGGCCCTGGAACTTATCTTTATTGCTTTCTTTATGAAGTTCTCCTATATCCACATCTATTCTTTCTTTGTGAAATTTCAAATTTTGGTTCTTACTTTGCTCACTAGTTCTACAAAATTCGATGTAAGAAACTGCTCAAATAACTCTCCTTCTTTGTAAACCCCTGGTGATAAAATTGTATCTTTTAAACGATTCGTTCATTCTTAGATTAACATATTTGTCGATTAGTGACACCATCAAGTCGTACTTATTAGTTTCGGCTTCTGGGACGGCGAATGTGGACATAACTTTGGCAAACTCAGTCCCAATTATTTCTTAAAATTGACAGTTTTATTCTATCTGCTAACTGGCCTTGTCCTTTTGAAACTGGTTTTCCAAAACTTCCATTCTCTTGCCGCATTTTGACCCTGTAGGTCAAAATCTGGTGGAAATTTTACACTTATTCCCATTGCCATTTTAAGTTATGCTACCCCGTACCTCACTACTTTCTCCAAGTTGGTTTTTATGATGAAATTTAGTTTATACTATTTAGTAAGTTTTATGACTAACAAAAAGCTTTGTGTATTTCAAGATAAGCAAACTAAAATGTTTCCCATTGTTGTTTGCGTCTTTGAAGGCTTTCGCCTGTCTTTGTTTACTGACATACCTATTAATTTGACCCAAATCTTCTTTTTGGATTAAACAGTTGCGAATAACACTCTAGATCTACAGCACATTGTTGTTTTTGATCGCTGCACTGACTTGGCCATAATAAATATTATGCTTATTATTATGCGAATTAATGCTTTAACAATACAGAAATTCGGATTTTTCTACTCTTTTGAAACCTACAAAAGTAGCTGAAACCACTATAATTCGTAAACAAATATTGAGGTTTCAATATTTGTGGTACAATCTATATACCTATTCGTCCAATGACTTAGGAGTAATGTTGTATAAAAACAAAGAGGTCATAACAAGCAATGAGGACTCAACTGAACACCTGAGATCCTTAAGGAACGACTCGTATAATTACTAGACGCTCACTTTGCCATTCCTAATACCATTCGATCAGATCTGCACACATGCCTGGTTGAAAAACTCCACCTTGCTGGATTGCCCTCACCTTTCGTTAAACTAATAAATTTCTATCTCTTCAATCGGACGTTGGATCAAAGTTGGCAACATTTTATCCTAACCCTTTACTCCACAAGCTGGAGTACCCTAGCTCCAAATACTATACACAGTCTATAACAGTGACATCCCTTGCCCGCAGTATAGATCGGAAACCTTTCTTCTGTATGCTGATGATACTGCTCTCATCACGTCGGGGCCACATAGAGAGCGTGGAGAAATGTCTGTATTCAAAAGAGCTCAAAACTATCTAAATCTGGTCATTAGGTGGTGCCATAAATGGAGAATGACTGACTATAAACGCCTCCAAAACACAACTTATATATTCAAATCTTCCAACTGTCGTGATGTTCAAGGCGGAATAACCGGAGAAGAGCTTATTCTCAGGAACTTGGGAGTTCATTTTGTCAGGACTCTCAACTGGAAAATCGACATACAAAAGACCCTAGATAGGGTAAGAAAGAGGTTTAAATTCCTAGCAGCACTGTGCGGTAAAATGGGCAAGACTTCAACTAAAACATTATTGCACCCCTACAAAACTTTCATAAGACCGTTAATCGAATACAAGGCATGCATCTATGCATCACTTACCACCCGCCAAATTAACACCATCACGGCCACTGAAAGGAATATCCTTAGATTCTGCACGAAGAAGTGAAGATATTATCCGTCAGCATACATACATCAGGTAGCCAATCTAACACCGATTAAGGACAGACTCCTATCCTCAGCAAGAGGTATGTCCTTTGCACTATTGCAGAACAACAGAGCCAAACAAATACTAAAGACACATTCATTCGCCGAAGGCGAATACTCACCAGCGTTCCTGAAAGAAGAGGTACATTTCCTCCAGCAAAACTTCTACACAGCACTGGAATCAAACTTTCTGATAAGTATTTTGATATATTAGAATCAACCCCCATTAAATATCGCAGGTAACAACTACAAGCCAAAAACGCTGATTAAGAGCCGTTCCCAGTACGACTGGTAACACCTTGACGTACCTTCCTTTGACTTGTGTGGCTTTCTTCGCCAAAAAATTCCTCTTGTGCGCTCCATATCGTTCATATTACACATGCCACCTTCTATACCCCAGTTTTTTAGCACTCCACCTCTACAACTTCGTACGCATTCTTCAGCACGTTTACCACACCCCCTCGCTCCGCAAAAAAAGAAGTACCCCTTCCATGAAGAGATAATAGCCTAAACAAGGTTAAAGCACTGGATCGATCAAGTAATAAAGATATAATTTTAATAGTGAACAGTTTGTAAAACTAGTGTAATATTAGTTTGTCGGCTGTCTATAAAATAATGTACTGAAAATGATAATAGTAAAACTCTTTATGTGGAACTTTCAGAGACCAAATGTCAGCTACGAGTTTTAGACTGTTATACTTTCCCAAGAACAATAAATCACTGTGTGTGGAATAATCTTTTAAGGTTCTGTCACTTATAAAAATAACTTATTTATTTCCCAGCAGAGATTATTAACTTTTACTACTACTTATTGGTTTTTTTACTTCCTGTGTTACTGGTTACCATGCTAGACATTGTTTAACACAATTCATAAAAAAGGTGTAACAAATGGACCAACGCAAGGACAAATGGAAGGGCAATATCTATATCGTATGAAAAAAAAATCTTAAATTTTAGATATGAAGACGGTAAAACTCTAATAACTGAATCCGAGGAAGAAACATCATGCCTGCTACATATATTGCAAACAAAAAGCAATAGATGTGGTCTCAAGATCAATAAACAAAAAAAATATGGTACACGATTTTTCAAACTCACAACATGTACAAAAAAGGTGTACATCTGTGAAACTATTAATATAATTTCAGTGTATGAGGACTGTATTAAATAGGGCTGGTTCAAATAAATTATGATAGATAGTAAAGTGTTATGCAGATAATAGCTAATCAAGTTTATAAAAAGTCTTACCAATACTTCTGCCACACACACACTCGCGGTATTTGTAGACTTTGACTTGCGGTTCTTCCTCGTACCGGGGAGCTATCTTTACCAGTTTCTAAACACGGATCTCTCGGTACTAAGACTAACATCAAAAGATATAGCACATTTGCGTCTCTATACGATTCAAAAGAGGATCGGCGGTATTTTTCGCGTAACTATAAGCAAAAGAGAAAGAGAGAGTCAATAGTCGAGAGAGAGGACGTCTGTTGCTAGCGAAAATCAACAGCCAAGAGAGCACGTCTGTTGCTAGTGGCGGTCAACAGTAGAGAGAGAGTGTGTCTGCTGCTAGCGATAGTCAACAGACAAGAGAGTGTCTTTTTCGTTTGTTATTCTAAAACTGTCTTTTATTTCTAAAAGAGCGCCTTTAAAGTGATAGTAGGAAGTATTACCAAGGGTTGGACTAGGGTAATTATTTTATTACTAAATCTAGTCAGTGAAGCAAGTTATCGGAGAGGCCTAAAAATCAACATTTCAAAGACAAAGTGGATGGCAGTTGGAAAGATCCATATAGATCAAGGTCTGCTTTCTCTTAATGGAGACGAGATAGAAAGGGTAAATCATTTCAAATACCTTGGCAGCTGGTTAAATGTAAATTGTGACTCTGATGAAGAGATAATATCCAGGATCGAAATATCACGTAAGGCTTTTATGACCTGGAAACCAGTTTTTATGCAACAGAAACCTGTCAATGAACATTCGTAAGAAGGTCCTGAAATGTTATGTGTGGTCGATCCTATTGTATGGTTGTGAGACATGGACGTTAAAAACCACAATGCTAAACAAGTTAGAAGCATTCGAAATGTGGTGCTATAGACGAATCCTAAAGATATCGTGGGTTTCGCACACTTCCAATGAAGATGTTCTTCAAATGATCAACTCAGAACGTCTGCTCATAAACATCATAAAGAGGAGAAAAACAGAATACTTCGGCCATATAATTAGAGGACCCAAATACCATTTACTTCGCCTTATAATACAAGGAAAAGTATAATAGAAGGAAAGAGATGGATTGGTCGAAAGAAACTTTCATGGCTGCGTAATATTAGACAATGGTGTGGTTTCACAGTAGAGAAATTATTTCGCGCCAGCAGCCGACAGAGAAAGGTTTCAGGAAATTGTAAGCATGATGACGGCCAACGTCTGAATACGGACACGGCACCCAAAGAAGAAGAAGAATTATTTTATAATTAAGGTGAAGAATGATAGTAATTAATACAGAGAAAAACTACATGATTTTTCGCAAGTGAAAAATTGAACACTACAAACAACCGGAGTCTTGGACCTGTTTAAAATGGTTAATGAGTTCACTTAAGTATCTATGATCCTACATTAGTATTTGCAGCCTCTTGTGAAATCGAAATACGTAGGAGAATGAGAGTGGATAAAAACGTTATAAGTCGATCATAGAAATATTACTCTTTGTTAAAGAAGACCAAAAGAAAATTAATATGTACCTTAATTTTTCCCATATTTAATTATGGTTCCGACATAGGAACAATGAAATTAGACGGTTGAAAAAGAATAGATGTCTTCAAGACGCGGTGCTGAAGGAGTATGCTCCGGATCGCATCTCTCAATTCTCCAAAAGCTTAACATTTAAACTCGATTCTCCTCTATTTATCTCGCAGGCGTCTAAAAATGTTTCAAACATATTACAGGAAGACGTAATGATAATCTTGAGATACGTATAGTTACAGGAAACGTTTAGGTCACAGAGATGTTCGCAGTCGCAATGTATTCCGTAAGTTTAAGATTAAACCTACTAAACAGCGCAGGATTAAAGCAATCTGTAACAAGACACAGGGAATTTGATACCATTGAATCATATGGAGTTGCGCTAGTTGACGCTAGCACGGTTGAATTGGTGCAAAAATAAACGTCATATCGCAGACTGACACTGCAAGTTTCTTTTCGGTGCATCGTGACAGACATCGACATCACTGGCGAAACCCTCTGAAACAATTTAATACACGCTTTTGGGTTTATACGACAATAGGACCGGAATTTCACCAGATTAATAATTAATTAATTTGCTAAAGTGTACGTGCAATACTTTTTACTAAAATGATTAAAATTGTGGATTCATACTTTCATCCCTTCGGTAATTTTACCACTAATACATTAGAGTATTCGATCATAATCGTCCGAATGTTTTGAATGAATGTTATTGAACAGATTTTGAACCAGAGAAAACTGCATAGATTCATTTATACAATAAAAACATAACTGCAAAAGAATATCTCTTAATAAGTTTTGTCAACACTTTTTTAACCCATATCTAGCTTTTATTTCTAGTATTATAATTCAGAAAATGTATGTATTTTTTAATATGGCTACCATTTAACATGCAACAAGTTTGTATTTTATATGAATAGTTACTTTATCGAGGCTATATCTAGTGATTATTATTTTTTGCGTAGTTTTTATTCGATATTTTATAACGAAATATTTATTTATTGTACACTTGTGATTAGATAATAAAGTAATGCATTAGGATTACGTGTTTTGTCTTACACTATACACCTCTTAAGATAAAGGACTTTTTTTTATTATTTCTCAATTATTTGGAAAATATCTCTGATAATTTTTTTTTATATTAAGGGATCTTTTATAGATTATAGATAATATCGTTTACGGCTTATTATATTAATATATTATTATAAACGGCATTATATTATTACATACTTATAGTAAAATAAACAGAGTTCTCGAAGAAGACAAAATATTTTGTCAAACGAAGGACCTCAATTAGTGGATCGGCTCAACAATCCATATTCACGAATCAGAAACAAATGAATCTCAACCTTAGTAGAACGTACTATTTAATAGTAGTAAGAGATCATAACTGACCCTTCAAAAAAAATCTCACATTATAAATCCTGTGTGATGACATCCAAATATGGAGATCAATGTCGACGTACAATGAAAATATCTTGGGGAAACTCCAATCAAAAGTTCTTAGCCAAATTACAAATACATGTTCAGCTGCGGTCACTGAATAGTTTATACCTTCATTTTTACATTGTAATACTCTAAAATACCAGTGTAATACTGTAAAAATAAGAGCAATTGCCAAATTCTAAGAAAGTTGGTCAATAAAGCAAGTTTTGCTGCAGATGTAAACGTGAGCCATATGTGCATATGGAAAATCAAACAAAGATTGGATCATTTTCACTTTATAGCACGGTTGGATGGTTCAAGAGGGCAGATTTCCACAGAACAACAAGATGAAGAGTTAGTCGAAAAGCTAGCGAAGAGAATTGATAAATTGTGTAGCTGCAAGGAAACCTTTTTTGACTGAGGATCACAATAGCAGACAAATTGCGTTTTGTGATCAATTCATAAACCGTTAAGATCACTTTTAGTCTAACTTTGGATTTTTCGAATTAAAAA